ATTTTTAGAAGTTTACAATACGGTCGTTTTTCCCCCCGAACGCTTATTTTGTGCATTGTATTATTATTGTCATTTTGCTCTGATTCTGAAGTATCTTGTGGGCTTTTGGGAAAGAACAGGAACCTAGCCCTGAAACTTGTTACTGTGTCAGAAGTGAAACTTGATAAAAAATAATCCCTGAGGCTCAAAACTAAGATTTTCTTCTGATTTGTCCTCGATCCGTGATTTTAAGTCTCTGGGAAAGTGTGTTCAACCAACCAACTAGGATTTCATGTAACCCAAGTATCAACCGGCCCACCTATTTTCAACTTGCTGACAAGAAGATCAGACAATGTGGTCAGTTCCAGGGACACTGCTGACCCCTGGGAGCCCTGGTCCTATCACCCAGTGTGGTCTTTCACAGACTGTCCCCTCGCCGTGGGCATGCCTGTCTTCTGTCCCCGTGAGGCTGTAGGTCCAGGAGAGTGAGGCACTTGTCTTGTTCGTGCTGGAATGTCCCCACAGCCCTGAGTCTGTCCAAGGGGCCCGGCCTCTCCAGGCCACTTCTTACCTCCGCCTCTGTCCCCCTGCCGGGCGTGGCCTCGCTGTCCCTCACTGTGCTCTCCCACAAACCAGTGTCTTCTTCCCATTCATCTTCTGTCAGGCGAGAACGTCCCTTCCCGGGACTCCCTGCTAATCTGGGGTCAGAACTGTGTCCACCTCTTCTTCCTCCGGCGCACGGTCTTGCTCCTCCCACCGGACCCTCACCTTCACCCCCAGCCCATGTCACACCCGTGTCACACCTCGTTGTAATTACATCTTCACACACTGCAGGAAGACTTCCTTGAGGGCAGGCAGTGTCCTTCCTGCCTCTGCAGTGCTAGCCCAGTACCCGACACTTAGTGGATCCCTAAATAGTACTCTCCCCCCCCACCCCACTCCACTCCCACCCCCATTTGCTTCCACCTATTTCAAAGGACAGGCAAACTTTGCAAAGTGCTACCAGGTGATCATTATCCTGGCTTCCTGCAGAGGGAGAGGCCCCGGGCCTCCCTGAGCTGCGATTCCACCTTCTGAGGGGCTCTGCCTTCCCCTTCCAGGTTCCCCCCGGACAGTTTGGGGCCTCAGCCCTTCTCTGTTCAGAGATGGTGGGAGAAAGACTTTGCCAGCTCCCGGGGAGAGCCCTGGTTCAGCTGCACAGGGACCGTCCATCTCTTTACTCATTTTCCGTGGGCCCGACCCTGAGATACAGGAAAAACCAGCGGCACTGCGTGTCTTCCCAGTCAGCCTCCAGAAACGGATTACAGGGGCTAGAGGAATTGGGGCTGTGGGCTTGGTCCTGAACCTCAGGCCTTTTTGAAGGTGGGACTTCTTGGGGGGTGGGGCAGAGGTGCAGAGAATCAGCCTCGGGGCAGCAAGGACTGCCTTCCAGGGGGACAAGGGCTCAGGCCCTCAGGGGGTAGTAGAGTTGATCTGTTGCCCACCTGAGGAGCTCTTTGGGGACTGGTTTCTCAACTTCACCAACTCCTTCCCAGGCCCCAAGGGGCTCCATCTCCTGCATAGAAATGGAGGAAACCCCGGCTCACCTCCTGGCCCTGCTTCCTTTCCCATCTGGGACCCGGAAAGAACCCTCCTCCTGGGTGTCCTAGTGCCTGGCCGCTTGTCCTGTCTTCCCAAAAGCAGTGTCCTGGGTCCCCACAATTCCCCCATGCATCCCACTGCCCCTGCACAGCCCAATATTCCTTTTCTTGGAAGTCACTTTGGAGATCAGCATCTTTCTCACTGAGAGAGGGGAAGGCGAGCAGGAGGAATGTCAGGCATGGTTTCTGCCACCTGGCCCTCCCCTAGTCCCTCAGACTCCACGGAGACGCCAAGGGGGTACCAGCCAGCCCTCCTGCACCTCCAGAGCCACCTCGCTGTAAGAGCCCGCTCAGGGCCACCTATGCCCACCTCTCCTTGAGAGTGCTCCTTGTAGAAAGGGATTGGAGCCTGAATGGGTGTTTGCTGACCAAAGTGTCCCAGGCGAGTGGCAGAGAGGAGCCTAGAGCTCCTGCGATCCCGCCCAGGGCTCTCACCACATCCTACACCACCCCCTCCAGCTCACTCACTACCTATGTGTCCTGTCACCTGGGTGGCCTCTGGTGCCCTCCCCTCACGCTTCCCCACCTGCCTGGCATGCATACCACCCACAAGACCGGATCCGGGGAGGGTGACCAAGACAGGGCTCAGCAGGCCTGGGTGAGGGATTCAGGCTGCTCGGGGGGATCAGCGTAAGGGCCTTGACCCGGGAGGGGTATGTGGGGAGGGGGTGGGCATGCACTCAGGACAAGGGTCCAGAGAGAAGGTCTGAGACATGGAAATCTTGAGAAGAGGCCAGGACAGTGATACTAACCACGAACGGCGGTCAGGGGTCCAGACGCCAGCTACCGGTCCAGCCAAGTTGTCATCAGTCTGGGGCCGGCCCCGGAGGCCCAGCGCGCCTAGCGTCAGGCAGAAACGAAGAGGACTGAGGGTCATCGGGCTTGACTCTGCCCCCGGGGAGGACGGAGGATGGCCCAGGACGCTCGACATGTGCCTGTGCCGCACAGCCTCTGCTCTGAGCCAGGGCGGAAGCTGAGTCTGAGAGCAGAAGGGTCTCAGTGGGAAGACCCCCACCCTCCGTGGCTGCTCAGTGCTTGGAACTCTCCTGCTTGGGGGTCACAGGCTCAGTTCAGATCACAGGGATCGCTCACTTTGTTGTTGGAAGCGTACGTGTTACGTGTCTTGGTGGGAATGGGATAGGCATTGAAGAATAAATACTGTCGTGAAGGGGGCTTTGGACTCACTCTCCTTCGCAGAGGCAGTGTGGAAAGCACAGGGGCTGGGGGGAGGACACCTAGAACGGAAGGGAGGTCGGGGAAGCAGGTTTGTGAGTCACCCAGCGAAGGACCAAACGCAGCTGCTCCAGAGCGGTCGTCACCTGATAGGACTTTATTGCCAGAGAATCATGCCCCCCGACCTGGGGAGTATGGCCCTTTGGAGACCCACGCCTCTGCCCCCTGGGAGGAGAAGACCCCAGGAGGGGTGGGGGAGGACTCCCCAGGGGCTGAGGAGAAACAGTGCTCAGGACAGGGGTCCCCAGGGGTGCTCAGGCCAGGCTGGGGCGGGGCTTCTTCTTCTTCTTCAGTCAGAGTCTGTTTCTCTTGAGCTTCCTCATCCTTGGCATTTGGCATCGTTTCTGGGCTCGGATGAGCCAAAGCCCCGCAGCCAGAATTACGATGAGCAAGAGAAGAAGCAGTCCTTTGGCCAAGAGGCAGAAGTAAGTCGCCTTCTTCAAAGGAAAGCCGGGATCTGGGACAGAAGAAGGGAGGGAGAGAGGGGCTCGCCAGGGGGAAGGGAGGTCCAGATTCGGAGGCAGACACCCAGCCCAGATCCCACAGAGGGGTCTCAGGTTCACAATCAGTTGATATTCCTTTACCAGTGTCTCTGGAACTATGTGTTCAGCTCACAGAAGCTCAGGAGCTGAGATGGGAGGAGCGATCTCAAGGTGAGCGAGATACTCGAGAACCTTTGGAAGGTGGGAGCACCAGCCCCCGCCCCAGTCCAGGGGACAAGGCCCCATAGGGAGGATGGCGGTTCTGGGTTCCAGGTATACACCTGGGAAGAACAGGGGGAAGGTGGTGGTAGCTTGGAGGCCTGCAGTCGCTCAGGGGGTGTCCCTGGGAGCCTGGTACCTGCACAGAAGGGCCCGGCAGGGATGAGGCGGGAGGTGATGCTGCTGACAGGGTTGCTGGCCCTGCAGGTGTAGGAGAGGGCATTGTCCCCCGGCCGCCAGGATGTGCTGAGGGCAGAGCTCTCGTGGACTGTGTCCATGCCATCCTCCCAGGAGATCCAGCTGTAGGTCACGTCCAGGCCTGCCTTCTCCACGGAACAGGTCAGAGATATATTGCAGCCATCTTCCTGAGCAATCTCAAAGTTCACGGTGACACGAGGCTCCGACAGCCGTCCTAGATGAAGGAGGGACATGAAGACCCTCCAACTAATCAGGGGTCGGGTCTGTTCTCTTAAGGTCCTCAATCCTGGGGTGACGGGTGTGCCTTCTGAAGGTCTCTTCATGTAAACAGAAACTAACATAACCCAGCCACCATAAAATCTGGTGCCAGGGCCCCCCGGGCAGCTGCTAAGGCCGAGAAGAGCTACCTATGGCATTTTCTACGTGCCCCCCATGTCCTTGCTCTCTCCCCATCACCTGTGCACCCCACCTTCCTCCAAACCCCATTCTGCCTCCTTGATCCCAGAAAATATTATCACACCTCCTGGGGGCATTCATAGTTTAGTCAGTGTCTCTGCAAAATCCGAGTTAAAATATCAGTCAGTGTCACAGGCACTGAGAAATCCGGCTCAGGTCGAGAGGAGATATTGATTAGTAGCCCTCCCACGACACAGGACGATAAAAGGCTCGGAAATAAGAGGTGGCATCCATCCCCAGGTTGCAGAATCTCAGTGGGAGAGAAGGGGCCCTGGAGGTCTGCACATGAAGCTCCAGACCCCTCCCACTCCGTCGGGAAGGTCCAGGGGAACAGCCCGCACGCCCAGGGCCTCACTGGTGTGGGTCACTCCGCCTGTGGCCGCAGCTCAGACACCGGGCTTGGGCACGCTGGAGACCTTCGGCCTTCCAGTGCCCACCCCTCAAACCATAACTCAGTCCCGAGACCACCGGTCCTTTGCGTGCAAAGCTCAGGAGAGCCAGAAACAAGCAGCGCTAGAGTTCCCAGCCTAGACTCACGGTAGACACGTAGATTGTAACGCTGCATGGTGGAGGTCTGCGATGTCCTCAGGTTGACCTGAGCCTGGTATGGCCCTGAGTCCTCCCAGCTCAGATTGCTGATGTGCAGGGAGTAGCTGGGGTCCAGGAAGCTCACTCGGCCCTCGTATCGAGGGTTGGTCACCATGACGGTAGCCAGCTGTGTCTCCTTCCCCGGAACCACGGTGGCAAGCCTTACGTAAGAGGACCAGATGATGTTCTCAACCTCTTCATCGGCTGGTATTTCCAGGGGGAGGCTGATGGACTCCTGAAAGACCGCAACTACTTCTTCTGTATCCACATCATCTCCAGAATACCCTTTGGCTGCAGAAAAAGGAAGAACAGACGGAAACAGCCCAGCTCGTGTCTCTGGACTGCTGAGCCCGGCGGTGGGGCACTGATGCAGGCCCACCGGTCTCCACCGCGCGGCTTCCGTGGCCCGTGCTTGATCCCGTGCTCGATCCCGTGCCCAGCTGCCTCTCTGGCTCTCTGCCGCACCTGACCTGAGCACCTGCCAGGGCTTGGCTTCTGTCCGGCCCTCACCCTCCACGTTTTTCCTTCGCCGTTGGCTGCAGTGGGCTGGTCCCCCTTCTATATTCCAGGCTTCCTCACCTCTTGGCCCTGCACTGCAGCCACACCCTATTCTCTCTACTCCAGAAGAGCCAAAGCATCCAGCCCCAAGCCTTGCTAGCCCAAACCGTGGCGGGACAGGAGAGCAGAGAGACGGAGACGCTGCCATCCCAAGACTGCCGTCTCTCTCTCTCTCTCTCACCTGCCTGGAGCAGCAAGAGCAAGAGTGACCACAGAAGGGCCCCCATGTCAGCAGCCCCGTGCCCCAGGAGGTTGACCTGCTCGGCCCCCAAGCCGATGAAGAAGACAAGCTGTCAGGAGGCTGCTAGAGACAGTGACTGATTGGCAGTCTCTAGGAGGGGAAATGCCTCTCACCCCCCAGCAGCCTCCAGCTTCCTTCATCCCCACTAAGCCCCTCCCTGTCCATCTTGGGAAGTTCTCTCTCTAAGCCTGATTGCCCGGCTGCCCCACTGACTCATGCTTCCTGTCCATCAAACACCGCTCAGATCCTACTTCCCATGAGAAACCTTCCTAGATGCCCTGCTTCCTGCGTTCCCAGACACCCCGCCGCTGCCCCCACCTGGAGCTCTTGGCCCTCAGCATTCTCTGGGTCAGCTCTCACTTGGCACTTCCTACCTCGCTATGATCCTTTGACCTTATAAGCATTTTGGTCTCCCCAGTTGGACTCCGTCTTTTGGGACATCTCTGTATGTCCCATGCTAGACACATGTAGCACCCAATTGGTATTTCTGGAATAGATGAATAAACGAAGTAGTCCTATGTTAAGCTTGCTAGGTTCCCACTTGACAGACTATTCAGAGGAAGAAAAATTTTAATAACCCCCTTGAAAAAAACGCACTTTGGGCCTGAGAGCCCATCTTGGTTGTTAATATTATGGAAAGACTAACTTGTTCTGTGAGACTATGATGTGGACCAAAGCTGGAGGAGATCCAACAGTGAGTGCTGCCCAGGACGCCGTGGTGGCCTTGGGAGGCACCGGTCTCCGTCACTGGTGTTCAGGCTAACACGGGCCAGTCTTGGATCGGTGGGTGTCTCCACATCTCTCGCATCGGGTGGGTACTCGGACAGGAGAAACTGTACGTTTTTTCGAACACTCAATCCTACAGGTCTGTGATGTGATCGGGAAGCAAGAGTGAAGCCCTCAAGATAGATGACACCATGGAGGCAGATCTATCAGCCCCGGTCCTGTGGCAGCACCTCATGTCTTCAGGGTATCAGATTCAGCACCCGTCAGATACTTACTGAGCAGCTTCCGTGGCCCAGGCACTGTCCTAAATTCTGAGGGATTAGCAGTGACCAAGAGCTTTAGATCATGACTTCGAGGTGATCAGGGGCTAAGATCTGACCGTGGACAACTAACTGCAAGTTTGATGAGTTTCACCCAAGGACTCATCTGGGGAGCCGAGGACAAGGGGATTTGGCAAATTTGAAGTCAGGAGGTCAGAGAAAGCCTTCCAGGAGAAATGACCTCAAGGGTACTAGGATCTGCTAAGTGAAGAAGAAAATGATGTGGGCAGTTCTGGAAATTCAATTTGGGAGCATCAAACCTCAGAGATTGTGGTTTTTTTAAAAATGTGGATAAAAACTTTCTTACGTAGTCTTCCTATTTAAAAAAAATTAAAGCAAAAAAAAAAAGGAGAAAAGAAAACAAGGTCACGTGCATAATATCCAGAGTCTAAAGGGTGAGTCTATCAGTTGGGGTCTCTCAGAAGCAGGTGCTGGGGCTGGGTGTGAAGGAGGTTTCCTGTTCGTGGAGGGGAATGCCCTGTAGAAGATAAAAGGGAAGGAAACAGAGTCAGGCAGGGGGAGCCCCCCGCATGCAAAGGAGATCATCTCAGTCTCCGCTAAGTCAAGTTGCTAAATTGGTGGGGGCTCTGGGGCAAAGATCCCACCCCCTCACTGTGCTGTCCTGGCTGGGCCTGCCCAGGAGGAGCGGGAATGCTGGAAGCTGCACTGGAGGCTGTCCGTCAACTACACCCCTGCAGCAGAAGACAAGCTCTCTGGAAAGGAGACCCAGGGGCACCCCACGGCTGCTCCACAGGGATCCACCAAAAGGAGCTGTGTGCAGATTGATTAGACCTGTCTCCATCAACAGGAACAAACAGCGCATCATGCTTATTGAGTAGAAGGAGATAATTTTCACACACACACACACGCACACACACACACACACCCTCCCAGTCCAATGTGGAGAAAAGACTTCTCAGAAGATGATTTTCAAATGCTTTGAAAATCTGATTTTCATTCTGGCTCATGGACTATGATCCAAACTCAACTCCATTTCTGTCTCTCACCCCCCCTTCACTTTTTTAAAAAAGATTTTTATTTTTTTAAATATTTTGTAAAGCTTTTTTATTTATTTGAGAGAGAGCGAAAGAGAGAGAGCACAAGTGGTGGGAGGGGCAGAGGGAGAGGCAGAAGCAGGCTCCCCGCTGAGCAGGGAGCCCGGCCTGGAGCTCCACCCCAGGACCCTGGGATCATAACCTGAATGGAAGTCATAGGCTTCACTAAATGAGCCACCCAGACGTCCCAAAGATTTTATTTTTAAGTAATCTCTACACCCAACATGAGGCTCAAACTCACAACCCTGAGATCAAGAGTCCCGCATACTCTGCCAACTGAGCCAGCCAGGCACCCCCCACCCCTTCACTTTTATTCAGTAGGGTGGTCTTCCCCTGCCCCAAATGAGAACTCTGGTCTTAATTTCTGTCTTAGTTCAGAAATGAGAACTTCCTGTCTTGTGTAATATACAAAATTCCAAACTTAAATTCAAATCAATCTCCCCTATCCCCGGCCTGGGTCTGTCTCAGGTTGGAAGCCTACACTGGGGAATGGGAAAGATTCTCTCTCCTCACTCCCAGCTTACCCCAGCACCTCTGCTGCCCTGAACTTCCTTCCCCCAACTCATGTCCCCCATCTCTAGGAGGGTGGGCACGAAGGAGAGGTGATGGAATCATTCTCACCTGGCTGAGTGGCTTTGCTCTCTGTGGGTCTGGCAGATGGTTACGATGGTCTCTTCTTTAGAGGAGCAGTTTTATGGGTTCTTAAGAGTTTCCACTGGTTCCATCTCTCCTACCCTTGACCCAGGGTGGATGCATCTCTGTTCTGGGTTGGTCCTTTGAAGGTCCTCCCACAGCCCCTGGACCTCTGGCCAACTGTCCCCACTGTGTGGCACCAAACCTAGCAAGCAAGGCTGTGTCTCATGGCTGGTGCTCGGTAGCCCGCCATATTCCTTGCTTGACACCAAAATCTACAGCATACACTGCACTCTGCCTGCCTGCAAGGACTCCGATCTCAGTGCACGATGGTTTCCACTCTCCCAGGCCTGGTGTAGGTCCCTGTCCTCTTGGACCCACCCCCGTGAGGCCCACGTGTCAAAACCTCCGCAAGTCCTCCCCTTGACACCCTCTCACTTGGCTCGCGTCCCTCCATTGGAAGTGGTGCCGACTCACAATAAAATAACAGCTGTTTCCGAAGACATCCCTTTCCAGTCTCCCACTGTGAACTCCCCACCCGGGGTGAAGGGTCCCAGAGCAGTGACACAGGTTCCCCTTTGTTCCCATTGATCTGCTGACACCTGTCTCCTAGACACCTTGGTGGAACCACGCAGGGAGGCTTCCAGCTAACATCCTGCATGCAGCAGACACTTGGGGTTCCCTTCCCGCAGCCCCGGGCCCTGCTGATTTCTGCTCTGCTGTTGGACAGCTCCATGAGGGTTTCCCTCCACCCTGTTTGCACCTCTGCTTTTCCGTTCTGGGACTTTCTGGGAAGCAGCGGAAGGCCACTCAGCCCTGGCGCAGTGCCGCGGGAAATGTGGGGAGTGTGCAGACCCCTGAGCAACCCCAGCCACCGATACACCCTTTATTGGCTTTCATCCCGTTCCAGGCTTGTGTTCCTCATTCTTCCCAGCTGGCTTCCTGGATCACCTCCCATAAAAACATCCTCCACCCAAGTCCATGTCCAAGGCCCCACTCTGGGAGGAACCTAGATTATGATACTATCGTACATGATAAAGTAGTTGAGCCAGTAAAATTTAGATCTTCTGCCTGGATTTTTAGGGGCAAATATGTTAATGAGAAATAAGCCCTGCACCCCAGTTCTCCTGCTATAACAACCTTGGGGAAGAGGAACCAGGGAGAAGCCGATCCTGCTCTGACGGAGGGGAGGGGCGGCGATATAGGGTGAAACCTTTCATCAGACTCTCTCCTTGGCTTCTCTTTGGGTCTGGAAAGACAGGACCCACACAGCAAAGCCATGATCCTGGAGGAACCATCAGCAGTTAAGTCCCAAATAAGTCACCTCCCTCCCAAAGCAAATCAACTGGAGATGTGCATGTCTTCTATTCTATGCTACCCACAGGGTTTGCCTTCTGTTTTAAATGTCAGGGTTAAAAGGCTGGTTTTTCAGCCACACCAGGAAGGCTGCAGGAGAGCTCTGAAACAGCATGCCGACAGTCAAGGTGCACCCAGAGGGGCCACTAGGGACAGAGGCGACAGCAGCCCTCCCTGCAGAGGAGGGACCAGCTCTTGCGGGGTCCCTGAGGCGGGAGAGAACAGCACCCACCCATGAAAGCACACGGATTCCGCCTGGTGGGGCCGAGACACTGGGGTGGAGTTGCTGAGCGGGCGCGGAGGGGGCAGAAGTCAGCTCCCTGGGCCTCATGGGCCACTTGGGTTTATAAGGCCCCTCTTTCCAGCATTCACCTTTTAGAGGCAAGAGAAACAGCACTGGCGGGGAACGGAGAGCGTGGGGTAGAGGGAAAGTTGTATTGCTGTTGGTTTTTTTTTAAGATGGGAGAGATCTGAACATATTTAAATGCTGAGCAGGGGGTGGGGATGGGGAAGCAAGACATAAAGGAGCTGGTGGACAGAGCGAGGCCCCCATTGCCCCCGGAAGAGGTGAGGGACTCAGATTCAGAGCCCAGCAGGAAGACCCAGCCTTAGGTTGCAAGATGGTCTTTTATTATAATAAGCTGGTCAGAGATGAAGGGAGATTTGTCTGTGGCAAGAAGTTAAGGGGAGTCCTGTCTAGTGGTTTCCATTTTCTCTGCAAAGTAGAGGTCACATTATCGGCTGGAACTGAAGTTGGAGTGTGTGTCAAAGGCAGGCATTTTGGGAGAAAGGACAGGCTTTGAAACAGATGAGGTGACTCTGTGTCCAGGTTTCTGGGGACTGTTCCAGTTTAAGCCCTGTTGTCCAGCCTGATTATCAGTAATGCCCCTTTTCACTCTTAGAAAGTGCCTTGTTTGTAGGATACATTATGTGCTTACTCTAGAACAGGAGCAAAATCTTACTCGGGGAGCTAGCTAAGCTTTGAGAGTCCGGGGCCACCCTTAGCTTTTCTCGATAACGAATTGCCCCGCAGATCTGGAGGGCGGTGGGGGCCAGGGGTAAGAGAATGACCTGCAGCCACGCTGCTTGGGTTCCTCCATCTGCGGAGCGGGCTACTCACCAAACGTGCTCGATGGGGCGGCAGGGCAACGAAAGGAGATGACAAAGGAAATGAGCCTGCAAAGCACGGAGCCGGAGCCTGGCACACCGCGAGGGTCGGCGCCTGTGAGCTGTGCCTATCACTGACGGCTGGTGAAGTGGAAAGATCGAGGGCTTTGGTACCAGGAGGACCCGGAGCCCCCACGTCATTGGCCAGCATCTCTGACTACTGAGGAGAATACACAGGAAGTCTATGATATAGGACACATGAATGTGTTTATTCAAGAACGTTCTCTAGCAGCACCAATCAGCCCCAGTCTGGGGGGCAGTGGGCGGTGCTGCGGGATGCTCAGCCCAGCTGGGAGTTGGTGTGCCCCCTCCCTGCGCCAGGTCAGCCTGGCAACTCCTTCCTTGTCTCTCTCGGGCATCCCGGATCCCTGAGTGGGTTCCCACACCCCCCTTTCCCTCGACTTCTCTCCCAAGTGCTCTCGTTCTCAGAACGGGGGTTTGGAGCGTGTACAGGCGGAGTCACACGCAGTCCCGAGGAGGGCTGGTCACAGTGCTGGTTCCCTTGGCCCCACTCCAGACCCAGGGAATCGGGTGGGGGTTGTGGAGGGAGGGGCTGCAAATCTACCTGCTACTCCAGGTCCCCCGGGGGTTCCACTGTGCGCTAAAGTTTGAGAACACCACCCTCTGTCTGCTCTTGTGTTTTACTGAGAGAGGAAGTTCCCCGCTGTTGGTCTTTGTCTTGTGTCACAAAAGGTTACTTTCCCCGTGAGTAGGGCGGTGAGACTGCCATCTTCTTGGGCTGGGCTTCCTAGAACATGAGAGGGGCTCTGGGGCTTTCGGTCTGTCCTCCTGGGGGGTCCCCAGGGCACTTGGGAGCGCATCTCCCGGACTGCAGCGGGAAGCAGGTGTGAGGCCTGGGAGCTTGCACCTGACACATGTGCTTTACCTGTCGACATCGGGGGTGCCAAAGCAGAACTTGTTGGCGACTAGGGCACTGTTGCCAAAAGAAGAAAAGTTTAGAATCTACTGGTCTTGTCCAGCCCCTTATTTTACAAATTAAAACCACAAAAAGCAAAAACAAAAACCAGAGGGCCCAGAATCAGAGGCCTAAGCAAAGCTGAGCCCAAATCCAGGTCACCTGGTGTCTTGCTGGCCGGACAGGACTGGACTGGACTAATTCGGGAGGTGACAGACCTGTATCTGGTGATGTCCCAGCGCACAGAAAATCCTCAGTAAATGTCATCATTGTTGAGGGAATTGTTAGTTTGTATTTGTATTCGTTTGTTATTGCTCATTGTATTCGAGACTGGAGGCGCTTAAAGGGGAAGGTGCAGAGAAAAGCCGGGGCCTTGGTGGGGGGATGGGGTAACCGAGTGACGGCGTTAAGGAGGGCACGTGAAGGGGTGAGCACTGGGCAGTATATGAAACTGATAAATTACTGAACACTACATCTGAAACTAATGATGTACTATAAGTTGGCTAATTGAATTTAAATAAATTTTTAAAAAAAGAGAAAAGAAAGCCGTGGCGGGGAGCCCACGCAGGTCTGTACCTGACAGTATTTTTCTTATGGATCAGACCCCGGCTCTCACAGCACGGGCTCAAAACTCCAGCTCTCCCGTGTCCCAGGAGTGATCAGAATCTGGGAGGCAGCCTCATTTTATCAGAGCTGTCATGAACTGATGTATACAATTATCTCCTTATCCTGCAAGTATTTATGAAGCTCCCGGTGAGCACCAGGGACTGCCCTCGACGGGGACCACAGCAGTGAGCAGGAAAACATGGAGGCCACATCACTGAGTGGGGTTGGGGGAGATCAGCAATAGACAACAAGCAAACAAACATATAACATCAAGTAATAAAGTGAGAAGAACTGAGCTGGACAAAGGAAGGACCAGGGGTGGGGGCAGGAAGTCCACGTGGTTGAGGGCACTCGATCCCATACACCAGCTGCAGCCCCCCTGCCCCGACGTCTCCCACACGAAGAGTCAGTATGAGGAGTTATCAACAGAAGGTTGCCGGGAGCATGGGGTCTGGGGCAAGGAGATGGTCTGGGGTTCAACAATTTGGTAATGACCTACTGTGTCCATCTCCATGGCGCTCCTTCTGTCAGGCTCCGTCTGGGCCACCAGAGCCCCAGACAGAAGCCGGAAGCCATGGTCAGGGCTCACCTCTGTGACTCTCCTTGCGATGAGTCCACCAGCATCCCATCTCATTTTTTCTAATAAGGTAGATACTTCCATTTGATCATTTGTTTCTTTGGGGATAATTTGCAAATCTCATCTCTGATCCACTAAGTATCGATTTACTAATTTGGGACTCAGAAGACAACCTCATTTTCCCCTTCTCCAGGGCTACCTGGTCCTCCCCCTACCCCCCTCCACCGCCCCCCCAACACACACTAAATACTTTTCTTGAGTAAGGTTTCAGTTCCTCATCTCAGATACAAAAAGCTCTCACCAGGGAAGGCTCCCTCTTCCCTGTCGAAAGAGCTGATCCCCTCGAGAGGTTTCATGACACCCTATGGGGTCACTCTGCTCTCTGGGTCAAATCTTCCTTCCTCAGCAAGAGAGGGGCTGTCTGGAGTCCTGACCCAGAGCACCGAAGGTGACTTGGAGGCTAGGCGGTCTCCTGGAACAGAGAGGTTTCCCTTCTCCAAGGGGACAGCAGCCTGGTAACGGAACACCAACAATGAGACATTTTCTCTCCATCTATGGAAATGGCTGAGGAATGGGGAAGGCCTCGGGGATCCCCCCGTCTCCTAGAAGAGGAAATGGAAGGTCATAAGGAGAAATGAAGGATTGGGGGTAGCCAGCAGGCCGCTCTGTGGGAGGAGGAGAAGCGGTGGGGAGAATGGTCCTAGTCTGGACAGCTCCCGGCACCAGGGACATCCAGGTAGGCTGACTGTGTGCTGGGAGAGTGCGCAGGAGGGGCAAGGGGCCGAGTCCCGAAAGCTGAGAGCCAAACCACGTCACACACGGACCCTGCCCACTTGCCCTTCTCCCAAGTGCTTTGCTGCAAGGCCCAGAGCCTATGTGGAAGTGGGAACAGTCCGCGGGGCTGTAGAAAAGATGAGCTCAAGGCACTGTTCACTGCCGCCACCCAGGGCCGTTGCCCTGAGCAGTCCTGTGGTGGCGTAGACCTTGATGATCTCCCAGAGTCCTGCCGTCAGGGGACAGCCACACCTGCCGCCCGGCCACAGCCAGGACAGAGCACTAATGCGTGCCATTTGGATCCTGACCTTGCTCCTGGCTCCAGTTCCTCATCCCACCCTGCTTGCTTTGAATCATCTTCCTGGCTGATTGGTGTCTTATCCTGCGTGCATTTTGCAGACCACGTGCAAGAGGTTAGCCCCACATACAGTTAGAGAACACGGTCTACCCAAGACCACCAAGTGCAAGGTCCAGGGGTTCCCAGAACCAACATGGTTTCAATAATCAGCTAGAAGGACTCCTAGAACACACTGGAAGCTTTTACTTTCACAGCGGTGGTTTATTACAGGGAAAGGCGACAGAATGAACTCCGCCCAGGGGAGAAGTGCGTAGGCCCAGGAAAAGAGCCGAACCTGTCCTCTCCCTGGGTTACACGCCTGGCGTCCACGTGACAACACGCATGGAAAAGCTCATGCCAGCCTTGGCGCCCATTGCTGTTGGAGCGCGAGGATGTGCAGCCCACGTGGCCGACCGTCAGCGTCTGGCCCCTCCGAAGGCTGGGCTCAGACCTTTAGTGTCCAGACCCTCTGGAGGTAGACTTGATACCACGTGGCCCTGAGCCCTCATCATAAATCACACTGTTAGATCGTCTGGTGGCCAAGGTCCCCACGCAAACAGAGACACTCCCATCCAACATGACATATCGAAAGATCAACCCGGTAGCCCCCGGCAAAGGCCAGACCTCTGTTCGGGTAAAGTGAATCCTTCACTACACAATGTGTTACATTCGTTTTTCAAGCAAAGTGAGGGGAAGGAAAGATGAGATGAGCCAATCTGTCACATCGCCTCCTTCCGGGCGCGACCGGACTCCTGACGATAACAGCCCTGGGGAGCAACGAGGGACAGGGGCTCCAGCAGGGACACTGGGCCCACAGCCTCTGAGCCCCTCCACGAGCTGGCTGCGCTTGGCCCTGAGTGGGGGGAAGGGGGACATTTCTCGGTGCCCTCAGAGAGCAAGGAAAGCTCAGACGTGCTGACGCAGACAGAGGTGGACGAGGCCTCGGCCCATCTGGTCTGTGCCAGCCCAGGGATTCCCAGGCGGAGTCGGGGCCGTGGGCATGCTGCGGTACGAGGGGAGTCCTGGCAGCTTTGCAGAGCTGGCAGAAAGGACGCCGGGTCAAGATCACAGCTGGTACCCAGGGCCCAGAGCCGCAGAGTCGCTCTCACGAGCGTCCAGGTGGCGACTCCTCTCCTGCACTTAGGCCACGGGCTTGCTATGTACTGAAAGTTTGTGCTCCCCAAACTCGTCTGTTGAAGCCTCGCCCCCCAGTGAGATGGTACTTGGAGATGCGGCCTCTGGGAGCTAGGCAGGGTTAGAGGAGCTCACGAGGGTGGGTCCCCCACGGTGGGACTAGCACCCTGATAAGAAGAGGTACCAGAGAGTTTCCTCCCTCTGTCCATCCCTCCTCCCGCCCCCAGGCCTACAGAAGAGTACCCTGAAAGAGACCGACCGCGCTAGCATCTGGATAGCAGACTTCCAGCCTCCAGGACCGTGAGGACACGGATCTTCATTGTTGAACGGTCCGTGGTGTTTTGGGATGGCAGCTGAGCCGAGGAAGACAGTCCATGACACAGAAAGGCAGGGAGGGAGAGCCCCACGGAGGCACACACTGGACAAGACGTGAGCGGGGTGAGGTGGAGCTGGAGTCTTGTGTGCGAAAGGGGGGACTCTGGAGACCCAGAGACCCGCAGGAAGCCCTGCCACCTGGCTCCATTCCCCCCGGGCCTGCAGGCGCCCTCTCCTTGGAGCTGGCCACATTCCCTCTCCCCTGTTGCTGGAGTGGACCTCTCTGCGGAGGGGCCTCTGCCACTCACCCTGCACCCCGACCTCCAGCTGGAGGCTCTGTCTCTGGACCCTGCTACCCTCAGGGGTGGCCTGGCACCAGTAAAGCCCAGAGGCTCCCTCCCGGGCTTCTGGGAGGCAGAGCTCTGAGTGGGGGCCCCAGTTCTGCAAGGTGCGGCCATCTTTGTGGAAGGAGAAGAGGAGCCTAGAGGCCGACCTCTGGGGGTGCAGCTCTGTCTGGCATTTCAGGGTCAGCGGGCTCCCCTCGCAGAGCTCAGGAGAAGGGACAGCACTCAGCACTGGAGGCAGGAACAGCTCTGGGGGGAAACAGGCCCAGGCCCAGGGGGAACTCCCGAACCCTGAGTCCCCAGAGGCGGGGGCCTAAGCTAGGGCACATCTCAGACCACAGCCCCGTGCCCCATGACAGACACTGCCATTGTCTCCCAGGACCCACCTCTCATCCCATGACTATACCTCAGCCCCCCGGGGTATCCTGAGCCAGAGCCAGAGGACCTTGTAGGGCATCTAGTCCCCAGAAGGGAAGGGTCTGGCCCAGGGTCTCTGGGACTGAGTGGCGGGCCACTCTGCGGCCCGGAGCATCCCCCTCCTTCTCCGGGGTCCAGATGTACCCCGCGGGGGCAGGGCATTTGGACAGCATGGTGGACATCTCAGGGCTCTGTGGTCAGCCCGGCATCAGGGGCAGCCAGAGGGAGGGCTGCTGACCTCTAGAGACCAGATCCCTGAGCAGCACCCTAGCCTCCACCACCCCCGACGCCCCCGAAGCTGGTGACTCACCTTGGACTTGAACCGTGGTCATCTCTGACCTTTGTGTGCCCAGGTGCGGGGTGAAGGTCACCTTCCTAGTCCCAGGCCACCTCTCCTGCCTCCAGATCTGGGACATTCCACAGCACTGATGCGCACAAAGCCTGAGCTCTGTAGGGTGGAGCCAGCCCTCTGACCGATCTAGAGTCAAGGGCTATGCAGACCTCAGCCAGACAGTGGCCCCTCAGACAGGTATTTCTAAACAGCCAGGGTGGTCAGCATGGATGCGAACACTGGCAAACACAGGAACAGCGGGAACATGAAATTCAGGACGCACGCAGCTGTCCATCAGTGCAGACAGAGTGGTTACACGTGAGCACAGGAGGGTAAGTGAGCCCCTGACTTCGCCCCCCGCGCAGATCCGGACAGTGCCTCCCACTCCTGGTCATAACTCCCGATAAGCGTCCCAGGAAGCTTCCCGCACGGCATCTGGCCGAGCTGGCTTCAGGGGCTCGGTGGAGCAGCCCCAGGGCCTACCCCTCCCCACAGTCTGTGCGCCCGGCCTCGGGAGGCACACAGGAAAGGAAGCTGATGACAGCCACCTTGTCCCCTAAGAAGCAGCAAGCAGGACAAGCCCCGGGGCCGGGGTGGGCACTTAGCAAAGGAGAGCTGACTGTGGTGTCAGCTTTGCAGGAAGAGCAGATCTCCACACAGCACACCAGGTCTGATGAGGTGGGTCTCAGCGGGGGGAAAGGACTCTGAATCCCTCGGGAGCCCGGCTCCAACCTGGAGTCACCTGGCTGACAGACGCTAGGATGGCACTCAGATGGGCCAGGAGCTCAGAAGGGAGGCAGCTACAGATGCCTAAATCATGTCTTGTAAGACAGCTTCCTGGTACTCTTGTTTTTTTCAAGTTTCCCTTTTGCTTACCCCAGTCTTTAGTACGTGCTTGTCCGAAGGGGTCAGCCATGTATTGGAGGGGAAGCAGGGTCCCCCAGAGCCCAGCATGGGAGACATCGGCCGTGAACCACAGAGAGCCTCCGAGAGAAGGCGAGCCTCAGGGACGGAGAGAATGTGGGGTCTCTGGGGTCCAGCTGCCTCCCCGAGCACCACCCCCACCAAAGAGTCGGGTTCCAGGCCCAACTTGGCTAAGCCCTGAATTCTGTTACTATCTAAGAAGGCAACGCTTCCTTGCAAAAACATAGACTGAGCAGTAACTGGCCCTCTCCTCTTGCAGGAAGGGGGGCTTCACCCACTCCATCTTCTCCCCAAACTGCTCCCAGAAAGTACTTCATTTGACGGTGTGAAAATACAGGTTGCTTTGGGTTTTGAGGCGTAGGGGATTCATTTGTGCTTATTTACCATGAGGCGCCCCCTGAGTCCCAGATGTAAATACACAGGTCCCCTGAAGCTGCAGCTTTCTGTCCCTTGAACTCGTGGTTGGCCGTGTTCAGTTCTCCTTGTCCGTGGCTCGCTGGGCACGGCTGCCAGAAGGAAACCTTGCAGAAGTGGGGTGGGGGGTCGCAGGGGTTACAGAGCAGGGAGTGCAGAGGCTGCAGGCTGGGGTCCGCCCAGTTGTTTCAGAGAAGCTCCTCCAATCACATGTCTCTGGGGTCCACTCCCCCCTCCCCCACACACACACACACACACAAAATCCCACTGATCTCTTTCTGGTCACTACCTTCCCCAAGTTCTTCTTTTAACATGCAAATAGTGCCAGTAAGATAAGAGGAAACCACAACATATCTCTGCTTAGAAACCGTTCTCATATGTTTGTAAATGTGCAGGAAAAATGTAAATCTCCCTGAGCAAGCAGGCTCAGATGAAGCTGTGAGCTCATTTAGGCAAATGTGCTTAAGCATTTCAAGCAAAGGGCTTTAAATCAATCTAAGCTTCCAAGGGCAGGAGTTAAGAGTCAAAGGATGGTCGCCAAAAAAATACCTTCTTGACTGGAAGAGCCCCTTGTGGGCCTCTTTGCCATGAATGACCCAGAGGAAATAACATCTTCTTCTACTTCAGTTCAACTCAACAAAGATCTCTTTAATGCTACCACAAGTGAGGCACTGTGCTGGCTGGAAATGGGGACAAAATGGCATATGGCGGCCCCATTCCCAGGCGGTCTGGCCACGCAAGACCAAGCACACAGACACACAAAGCCGAGGGCTGGAGGGGGAGCGGGAGAGCTGAAAGCAGGGAGGCAGCCCACCCAGTCGGAGGGCTCAGCCGGTGTCCGGAAGGGATTTGGAGACGGCCCGAAGTGGGATACCCTGTGTGGTAAGGCACCAGCAGGAACAGGGCACAGAGATGGGAAGTCACAGGACGCTTCAGGAAACATCAGATGGTCGGGTCTGGATGGAGCATGGGCAAGGAGCAGGAAGTTAGGGGAAAGTAAGGGTGGGGGCGAAGACTGGGACCCTCGGAGCAAGACCAAGGTCAAGGGGATTGGGGTGAATCAGCAGCACGTCTGCTGTTCCTTCCTGTTTCTTCTTCTGCTGAGAACTCCTCCCTAACCGCCTGCAAGAAGGGGGATTCCAGGCACACCCGCAGGAAGCACCATGTAATCCCTTCTTCCTGGGACATTGCTCTCCGTCCCCCAGCACCCGTTCCACCCGAGACACACACACAGAAGAACAACACTGAGAGTGCAGTTTACGTACTACTGTCTTGCTCAGGCATCAGGCACCCCGGCCAGGCTCCTCTCTTAGTGACCCATCCTGCCGCTCAGCACCTGCCTCGGGGCAATCACAGGTCTGTGATTCTTCGTCCCTTGCGTGGAGTCAGGCACATATGGCAGGTGGGTATTTGAGGAACCACAGCCTGAAGCATCACAGGTGTGAGTCTGTGCTGGGGGTCAGAGGTGGACAGGGAGGTTTCCCTTTCTAGAGAAGGAGTCCCCGAGTTACCAGGAAAACCAAGAGATCAGATCCCCCCAAGGAGATGTTTCCTAGCCACCCTTTTTTTTTTTTTTGCATGAGTTAAATCAAGTCCGTTTCTATTACTTGCTACCAAAGGACTTTAATGAATTCATTTGAAAGATCTTTGTTAGAAAGGAAACGACCTGCTCGAGAGGTCAAGCTTCGGTTGCAAGTCAGTGCTGGCGAGGACACAGCAGAGCAGGGTGGTGGCAGGGCAGGGCTGGGGGGCAGGTTGGATGACGTTTGAGGTCCCTTCTAGGAGCACAGAGGTGCCTCTTCTGGTACATGATGCTGGCCAGTCTCCTCCCTCTTCTACCCCCAAAATGAGGAGCAAAAAGCAGGAATAAGGACTCCTCACAAATCTCCAGCTCCCTTGGAGAAGGGACGCATGTAAACCCCGACAGAGTCACTCACAGCAGCAAGCCACCAGGGCCACGGGAGGGACCGGAGTGGCCATACTTCCCCCAGCAGCAGCCGGTGCTTCAGATCTGGTGGAACAAAATCCCCCGGCTGTGATTATGAAAACAGACGCCCTGTCCCTCTGTCCCTCCAGGCAGGCTGCATAATGTCCCCTCAAGGTGTCCATGTCCTAATCCCAGAACCTATCACTGCTACAGTATATGACAAAAAGAGACTTTGCAGATGTGATTAAAATAAGGATCTTGCAAAGGGGAGATGATCCTGGATGATCTGGAAAGGCCTGATGTCACCACAGGGTCCTGAGAAAAGGGACTCCAGAGAGGTCGCCATCAAAGGAGGCCGGCATCAGAAGATGCTATGCCACGAGCTCTTTAAAGACAGAAGAAGGGGTCTGCAAACCAAAGCTACAGCTGCGCTCCTTAGCAGACGGCAATCGCCTCGAAGCATCACTACTCTGGAGTCAATGAGGATTAAGTGATTAATACCGTCATGGCAGCTGTTCAACAAATGCTCATGGTTATAATTATGCGGGGGTCTGCTAGAGCCGCACTACCCACAACAACAGGGCCACAAGCCACACGGACCCTCTGAGCACTTGAAACGGGGCTCGTCTGAATTGAGGGAGGCCACAGGTAAAATATACCCAAATGTCAAATACTCAGTACCAAGAAAAACAGAACGTAAAATGGCTCAATAATTCCTATATTGAGTACACATCGAAATGATCATATTTTGGATGTATTGGATAAGTAAAAAAATTATTAACACTAATTTCACCTGTTTCCTGTCACCTTGACATTACTCTTATGGTAAAGTAGCCGTTAGAACATGTAGGTTTCTGTCCGGCTCCCACTGTATTTCCACTAGGCAGTGTCCTTGGAGTCTCGGGCGCCTGCTGGCCATGGTACAGAGGCAAGCCAGGCGCATTCAGGGAAAGTGCCCCCCGCCCCCCGGGCTCACCTGCTCTTTCTTTTCGGTATGTCCATGATGCTGACCACGCCGCGTTCTGGGAACACCCTTGGTTCATCACTGCCAAGTACAGCGAGACCAGGAGAGTAAGTCCAGGTGGCCTCAGACCCAGTGTGGGATCCGGGCCGGGGCAGCGGCAAATGGTAACCGCCACCGTGTCTTTGAGACACCCAGTGAGCGGGGAGCACCAGCCTCAGGCGGGGTTCAGCTGGTGCCTGGACTCCCCACGCTGGCCTGTTCTTTTAATCCCTGCCGTCTGCTCCAAAATGTTTACCCCCAGCCTGCCCCAGAGCTGAAAGTGCACGGTTTGGGCGATGCTTGTCAAGAGGACTTTGAACCCCGTCTGGGGGCGGAGCATGGGTCCTACAACCGGTAAGTCTCCGGAACCTGCGGCCTCCGCTCGCTCTCCCGGCTTCTCTGGCCCCCAGAGCGGCCTGAGGCCAGAAGCTCCCAGCCCCCGTGTCCACTCTGTCCCTGAAGACACACGCGCAGCCCCGCACCTGCAGCCTCACTGCCACTCACGACAGGGCGCTGCCCACGGAGGACAGAGCCGGGCAAACGGGCCCCACTCGGCTCTTGCGACCAGTCCCGGCTGTGGCACTGAGGTGGGCGGCCACCACTGCCCAGACGGCTGGCGGGGGGGGGTTCACCACCCCGGGCCAGAAGGCAGCTTCTGGTCTGGGGGATGCACACTTCACCCCCTGCTCCTACCGCGGGACACCCCTCACAATCCCCATGAAAGTCTGTGTTT